TTCAGAACAGGTAAAAAAGAAGTCCATTTTCACAGGAAGATGATACACAAAATTTTAAGTTGAATCTCTACTCTACAAAAATTTAAAACTCTCATGAAAAATTTTAGAGTAGACAATGCCACAAAATAATAATTAATATGTTTTTGATGCATTTTCCTAGGGAGGAATGCATAAAAGTAACCCATAAATAAAAATTAGACATATATAGTTTAGGGCTGCCATATATACTATAGCTAGTAACAGTAATAGCACCTCTAGATCATACAGACAGCTTATAGTAAAGCTACCTGGCTAGAATATCAAAAGGTCAGAGAAATGTCATGATGGTCTGATGTTTAAAAGCTTAAAAATAATCAAAAAGAGTGGAATCAGCAAGGAATGCTTATAGACCTGAAGTTAATAATTCAAATTAAACAAAATCTGAAACTTCATTTTAACTGTAGAGTAAATGGTAGATTAGAATGAACTTAGGGGAATTTTTAAGAATGGGACACTGGTAAATTATGTATTTTCCCTCATTTCTCTGAGAACGAACTATGGTTTACCTGTATTTCTGTAAAATCTTGAGAAAAGAAAGTTTTGCATATGTGTAATATGTCCATTCACTGAATTTGTCTCTGATTCCACTATTCCACATATACTTTGCTTTTCCATCAGAATGACAACATTTTTCATTAAAATTCACATCACAGTATGAGGGACAAATCGCAATGAACACTTTCTGTCTAGGTTTATAATCAATTCAAATTCAACACATAATATGTAGAAGTGCATGTCAAATATAATGAAGGAGAATCTCTCCTGAGATGTAATTTCATTAATTCAACGTCCCAGATCACACAATTTTTCAGATAAGATTGCAGATAAATGGAAACATTGTATAAGTGAAGAGAATATTAAATATTGCAGATAATGCAGGCTGAAAGGTCCTAACTTTCATGGAAATTGCTACGGAAAGCTTCGAGAAATTGCATTATTTTTGCTTATTCATATTCTTCAATGGAAATTACATTAGTTTAATGTGTGGTAAGATGACCTTATGTCTCTTCTCATTTATAAGGGTAATAATGAAAGGAAGACATTTTACAATTATCTTATTGTAAATGGCTCATCACTACTTGAAATCAGTAGAAAAACATTATAAAGGGAAAACTTATCCAATACAATAAACTGCATCAACCAATATTGACCAAAAGACAAATAGGCTTCAATAAAAATTATCAACTAATACAATAAACATGATCAACTAATAAATCTATATATCAAAACTAGTTGAATGTGGCATCAAGGTTATGATGCATGATAAGACCCATGTAAAACTTCCAAATACAATCTATCAACATGAACATCTCCAGGTTTTATCTTTTCCAAAAAAATACAAAGCTTACTCTCTCTTTAAAATAGATTCAGTTCAGCTGAGCAAACTGGATCTGTATTGAGATACTGTACCAGTAACCTAGTTTCAACAAATGTAACAAAAAACACAAATACAGTCTGAAGCACTGCTACAAGGATATCATTTACTTCAGAGAGTGTTCTCTCAGGTCTATGAACTATGCCATCTGTTTACAAATATAATTAACAAGTGAAGTTCAGTTGCTATAATTTTTTGTTTTTATTATCTGTTTATTAAAGGTATTTTTGGTTATAATCAAACAGGTCTTTATGTAAAGCAGGATATATAGAGGATATCCTATGATTTATGAGTGATATGATTTTTATCCACGAATGGATATGATATCTGCACGAGCGAGCGTAGCGAGAGAGTGCAGAATATCAATATCCATGAGTGGATTAAAATCATATCACGAGTAAATCATAGGATTTTAAATGAATTTTTCAAACAATCCGGCGATAGTGCCACTTAGCCTCGTTTTGAGTCTGAAGTAGCAAAAATCAATAATTCAGCAATAAGCATACGGCGCCGTATGTCATGGCTAAAACACTGTATGCTATGGTTAAGTGAAAAGTTGTCAAAAAATATCATATTTTACCACTGATTGCAAAAAATACCATTTTTATTTTGACATGTTATCCTATGAATATCATGCTAACTATGGAATAAGTATTATTAACCTCTTGAATACCTGGAGTGACGAGATTTCTCGTCACCTAAGAAATGACCTTGAAACCCAGAGTGGCGAGAAAATCAGTCACAATATTTTTCACTAAAATTGCTCTTATTTGAACAATTTTAATCCAATTTACACAAAAATTGTTTTAAACCTGGGGAAATGATCTCTGCCATCTAATTTTACTCAAATGAGCATCAACTGTTGTATGTGTATGTAATAAAATGGCAAAAGCTGGCAAAAATGAAAAAATTCTCTGGTTTCAACGGATTTTTGAGCCTGGGATTTAAGAGGTTAAGTTAAAAATGCATTCATTTCATGTCTGTATATATGCCATTCTGTTTTATGCAAATGATATCCTAGATATGTGCTCTTCTCTCCATGATGCCATAATTTGAGATAAAAGCTTCCTTTGCACCATCATCATAGAGTGGCTACCACTACCAGGGGTCGCATTAGTTGATATCATTTAAGATAGATAATATAGATAATGTTACTAGGTAAGTTCTCCCTATTCATATTCCAGGTAAGTATTCCACTTAGCCTAGAATTTATTTTTAATCTTACCATGTTATATTTCACATTATTTCTCTGTAAAATTTGATTGAACTGGATGTTTTCTTGCATTTCTATATAATTTAAAGTGTTGGCTGTATACCTGTTTACTTTATTCCTTGCTAATTCCACTCTTTTACATTTCATTTTATATTTCAAAGCATGACAACATGACTTTTTGTTCACTGGCAGTGAAGTGGAGTAGCTAACAGGCCAAGCCATTTACATAGTTGTTTATCATCACCTACATATACTTCATCAGATAGAACTCATATGGAACAAGGGACCATGTCAATATTTCAATATTTTCTAAAATGTAATAAATCTCATTCCAGACTGATTCACTCTCTTAAAAAAGAAATTGAACATTAATTGACTCTGTTGAAATCAAATCACATTCCATTTTAAAATCAATGTCTGCTTTAAAATATAATATATGTTTACCCTCTCCTATAAATAAATGTGATTATGAATGCTTTCACATTGTTATAAGGGCATTGTCCTCTGTCTGATCTACCTTCCTATGAGCCATTGTATCAATCAATCACTTAAAGTTTTACCCTGCGTGCAAAGTCTAGTTAAACTACACTCTGCCTAGTAGAGACCATATTACAGTTTAGTAGTCCCACCCCCACGATGGGTACCGGTGACAGTTTGGGTAATAAATCACTTTTGACCTACGCGCTGACCTTTCTTCCACCAATCAGCGAGCTTGAAGAAACATACGCCAAATGCGTTCTAATTAAATATGTGCATGTCATTGGGCAATTCCGGGCTCAACGATGACACCAGAAGGAATGACCATATATAGAACGTTTGGCCGAAAATTTGGCCAACGAACACTGATTGGCGCGGTGAGTTCACAGGTTTATTTTAGTTTGAAAGAGTAAAGACGAAGCTCTCTTTTAAGAAGTGAAATCAAACGAATGCAAAGGGTATTAAAGTTTTCAATTTTTCTAAGCTGATCTGATCAGCATGTGAAAGTCTATTTGATGAAATATCTAAAACAAATATGATGCATCCGAGATGACAACAGCCTATGGGAAATGATAGCCAATAAGTTATAAAACATTCAGAAAAAATTTACCATGATAAATTCCAACACTTAGACTCAAGCAGAGAAGACTTTTAAACCTCTTGGATTTTACAAGAGATATAAGAAATTCTTGAACAATCCTACTATTACCTTATTAAGAATTCAAGAGAGCTGAAAATGGCAATTTGATCATACATAATTCAACATCATTGCTCCTTAAACTTTGAATGAGGTTTATTGTTTTTTGCATTACATACAATTGGAGTCGGCTACGCTACTTATAAATTCTAAATTGCGTGGACGTTTTCCAGGATCTTTCATTTCAAAAACAAGAATTACCATTTTCACGACCCCTTCGCCTATGTTTTGTATAAGTCAAATAAAAGTTGTGAGGCTAGACTTTGACAAATTATCTACATGTTCCTCTTGCACTAAGACCCTATACGCTGAATTAGGGGCCCTGGTGAAAGCCTACCTATGTAGCAGCAGGCAACAGGTGATTTTCAACAGTTGTTTTCACAAAATTGCCTGTTGTTTTAGGGGACTTTTCAACTTTTGCGTTGTGAGAAATTCTAGTGTAATTCTAGTCCCTGTAACTGTAAATGAATTTGGGAATTTATTCTCTGTATTTAGGGTCTCATTACTCTAATCAGTTGCTCAGAAAATCAAATGAGAGAGATAATGTAATCAAATGAAAAGATAAGAAACAGCAAGCTTATAAACAAACAACTTACTTTAATGATTATGTCAATAAGCATTACAATAATGTAATTTCTACGATTATCCTCTGGTAGTAGAACAAGCATCCTGAAGTCGACAGTTTATAAAAGATTTTCTATTGAATTCACTCAATGGTTCATTCACTTAATGCTAAAAAGGGAAGCAATTGGCTTTCGTATCAGAATAAGTCATTTAAACAGAAATAACAGAAAAGATATAAATTGATTTCTACCATGTATTTTCAACTCATCATACACATGTTTCATTAGAATGTTTCGGCACATGCAAAATGAATGAAAACAACAGGCAAAATTATTAGAAATTATAATTTTAACACAAAAACACTTGCTAAATTTCTCAAAACAACAGGTGATTTCCGTTAAATCAACCTGAGAAATGGCCTGTTGCTTGCTACTGTTATATATATCTCTTATCTTCCTATAAAACCTCTAATAACCATAAAGGACAGAGAAAAAGAAGAAAAGTGAAAATCACCAAGAAATGTGAAAATCACTAGGAAATGTGAAAATCACTATGAAATGTGAAAATCACCTTTAGATAAGGGAAAGACCACTACATGACATAAACTACTTGTATTTCTTATAGTCATAACTTACCCGTATTCTTCGCATGGCTGCAACTATCTCGACTCTGCTACTTGGGCGTGGCACATCCAAAGTCCCAATGTACTGAAATGAAAAAGAACAAGTAATCAGATTTTTTCACATAATTATGAAATAAAAACTATTTCAGACTGCAACTTAAGGCATAAAATACAATTCAAAATGCAAAATCATTAAAACATGAACTATCATTCAATGATCCATAACAATTCAAGGAATAACTATTATTCAAGGAACGACCATCATTTAATGATCAACAATAATATTCAAGAAACAACTAACATTTAGGGAACTAACATTTAAAAAAAACCATCATTCCAATTATTCTATGAACAACCATCGTACCAACAGAAATAGTATCTATGTGTATCAAGTGTTTCACTGAAACTCCATGGAGACCTGAAATGTTTTGAAGAATTAAGGAATCAAATTTAACCTGATTCGGTATACTATTTCTGAATCAGATCTGCTATTAATTGTTTTTTTCACCACGCATCTTGAACATATCTTAGACTGCTCTGCAGTTGGCAATGTGTCTGATGTTGCCTTTCAATGTTTAACTGTTCTGTTTCTGGTTTGCAATAAGTACATGATGAATGATGTGCTATGCACATAGACAAAAAAGAGAGAAAATACCTTTACTATTATAAGATGAAGCATTTTCTATAAGATGTACAGATATTGGGTGGTTTGAGACAAAGCAGAATGTGGATTTTGATTCACAGGTGGTTAAGCCCTCCCCCCCCCGCCAATATTTCAACAATCTAATGGTGTGTCCCCATGGCCATTGCCTTCAATAGTTCATTCATCTTAAAATATAGAGATTTATGTACTTAAATGCATACCTCGGTCAGAATGTATCTATATCTCATGTTTAATTACATTTCAATGAGGATACATGGAAAAGAATCAAGATTTATTCTAAGTTTAAATGCAATAAATGTTCATTAAGGCACAATTTACTTGTTTTTTTATATGGATGTTGGGCATTTTTATTAGATGCGCTTGTTTTGCTAGTGGGCTACTTTTTAAAGATCTTGTCTCAGACAGAGAATCAACAGTTGTTATGTTACAAATATACATAAGATCAATCCACATAAAAAATAGTTCCAATTCTGACTTGATGTTAAGTTTTGAATTAGGGTTATTTAGTTTTCTTAACCCTACTATCACACCAAACTAGTTCTCACTACGTTCTCGAAAACGGGCTTCAACTGTGTACGAACGGACTGGACGTACTAAGAACCGTTTGGGATCTATTTACAAACTTCATCGAACGTACTCGAACGGGTAGGTCCTCTAGAACTTAGACAATGCTCAAAATGTTCTCGTGGTCGTCACGTTCTACAATTAGAACGAGTGACAACGTACTAACGACGAGCTGGACGTACTACGAACGGAACCGTCGTACTTCAATCCTACTAGGGACGTTTTAACAACGAGTTGAACTGTCTGAGGACGTGTTGAGAACGAGGTAGAACTCATTGCAAACGGGTTTAAACTGATTAAGAACGTATTTAACACTGCTTATGAACGAGTTAGCAAAAATATAGCTATCACACCAAACAAGTTGCCACTGCGTTCTTCAAAACTGGTTCTAAACTGTGTGCGAACGGAATGAACGTAGCTGCAATTTTCTAAGGTCTATTTACGAACTTCATGAACGTTCTCAGACGGGAATGTGATTTTAGAATTTTGAATCGATTCAAAATTCGATGGCGACCATACCGTTCTGTTATCAGGTCATGATGACCTTCTAGACTAAGGGACGCGTTCTACGGCGTTGCACACCGACGTGGTGCGACCTGAACGAACTGCGAACGAGATGGACGTATTGAAGACTGTTTAAGAACGAAGAAGCTAATTATTTCAGACATATTTCCCGACCACAGCCAGATTGAGCCCGTTTTACGACGTTTTCGTAGGACTGGCAAAAACGGGTAAGAACGAGTTTGGTGTGATAGGGGGGTAAACGAGATAAATAAAGGCTGTGGAATCCACAATGGTTTTTCCAAATGTTATTGCTTTTATTCAGAAAGATAACATTATTGTAACACTTGCTAGAGTTTCGCAACAGGTTAAATTGCTATAGAGCTTTGTAAATGAAGGAGTTTTGGGGATTTTAAGCTTTCTATCAAAATGCTCCATAATGAAGCAATTTAACGTTGCTGTATAACAAGGACCATGATCTAGAACTATACCTGCTCATCTTGGCTTACTGTACATGCTATAAAAATTTGTACTCACAGATAAACCAAAATACACAATTTTGGCAAATAAAGGTATTGCTTTTTATGTATTAAGACTGGTATACGTTAATTTTTATGCATGAACCCAACACTATATGTTTAGATTTATCATGGCATACTGTAGTTGGTTTTACGTACAAGATACATATAGTACACTATACATTTTGTTTTATTAATGATTTTGGTTTGTTCTCTCCAACAATTTTCACTCTCACTCTTGCACTTTCGAATATTGCAACAAGAAAGGCTATAGGCATTTATGTCAAAAGCATAATCATTTCACAGTCTTGGAATCACTCCACTGACTGATAAATGTACAATGTAATAAACTCATAAATTCTTAATTGATATAATTGCCCAGTGGTCCATTCACTGAGCAAACAGAATAGATAAACATGGAAATATTGCTTCTGGAATTGAACAAGCAGATTTTATTGAATTCTGAACAATTGTAAGATTTGCGGAAATAGTATTATTTACCCAGTGATTGTGGTAGAAACTAATAATCAATGATAAATGGCGTTAGATAATGAAAACAATCAAGGCTTGTAGATTCTGAAATCTCAAACTGCTCATGCGTATTCCTCTCTATTTCTCTCTAAAACATGTACAAAGTTCACAAATTTGGCTGTTTTATATAATTTAGGATATTGAGCACTTGCACATTTACTCTGGTTTTACATTATTTACTTTATTCTGTATTTGAAAACATGGACGTCATAATATTTTGTTGATGGGAACCTGCTCATAACTCTACCACAAATCATTGTAAATCAACACACTGATTTCATTCAGAAGGAGCTCATCTGGGGAGTAGACCATTAGATCTTTCAAGGACCGTTTCTCAAGAACATTTGGGTTACTGTATGTTATTGCTTTATGTTGTGGAAGATCTTTCTTTTGATAGTTACAAAACACATAAAGATGTTAGAAGTATCAGAATTCTAGTAGTTATGAAATACAGACTTGTGTTCAATATGAGACATGAAAAAATTATTTGATCTTAATTTGTTCCTGACTCAAGATCAAATGGTCCCCTTCAATATTGATAGAAATGTAATTCAAGTGAATATTGCCATTGACAAAATTTTGATATTCATCATATGATTCCATTTCACAATAGAAAAAATGAGAAAGATTGATTCAGTAATATTTTCAAACATCCATCATGCAGAAAATACATGTAGTCTGAAATACCAGAAATACCGGATACCCCAGCTGATAGGTACAGATGATCAAAATCCATTTTTGCATTTATATCATTTCCAAAAAGTCAATGTCTAATTTTACCATGTTCCTTGGGTTCTGGCGAAGACCAATATTCAAATAAAACATACTCTCCTAGGCATTATTTACAAATATCAATAATTGTACCAAGCTCAAGGCCCGAGTTTGAAATGAAAATGCTGATGTGAAATTTACCAGAATTTACTGAGATACCTAATATCTTGTTTCCAAACATCAAACGTGTTTTACTAATCATATCATGAATATTGATCTGAGGTAATAGAACATTCTGAGCCTTATAAAATACATAATGTATCTGAAACAAGTCAAAATGGTAGAATAGGGAGGTGAGGGGTGTCTGCCTTTCCCTTTTCACTATTTTCAATTGAGTTTTCTCCAAAAATAAATGTTATACTGTTATGCTTGTATCTTCTTGACATTCTAAGTATGAAATTAAGGAATCTCCATTCTACTTTGTTAGTTTTTAATAGGATTTCAAATTTAGTAAGGTACTATGACAAAAATAAACTCAAATAAGATCAAAATCACTTAAATATTTGTTTAACATTGAAAGCTTTGTATTACTTGAATGTTAGTCAGCGGAAAAAGGAAGTAAACTTAGTACAGTATTATAATCCAATAGAATAAAATACTTTTGTCAGTATGTGTGGCTATTATATTAAGTTCTGATACATATTGATTGAAAATGTATTCAGTGTGTATGACACATTGCATTTCAAAACTAGCATATTCAGTTTATTAAATCTACTGTTAAATCTACCGTTAAATGTTTATCCTTTAAATCTATATTTCTTTATTCTTAAATTTATCGCCAAAACTTTATCCTAATAATTGATTTAAGGAAAAGCTTCAAAATTGTTCCATAAACAATAATTTACAAGCATAATTACACAGTGAAGGTAGATACAATGGTCTCGTCTCCCCTTATCCCCAATCTTTGAATATTTAGAAAACTAATGTTGAGCATTTGAAAAGTAATATTTTTATCAGTTTCTTAAATTGCATCTCTTCATACTCCCCCCCCCCACCTTGTTCTCTCTTACCCAACAGGAAATATTCTTAAGTTTTAATTTTGCCAGTTTAAAATCCCTAAAAAGTGTTAAGAAAAAATCCTGTTGAGAATATGGCAGATGTGAATAACGTTACATTTTTTCTCCAGAGCTACTTTTAATCCACACCTGGGAATATTCTATGTGTGGTACAGTAGCCACAAAGTTGTTTCTGTGGCGGTTATTTTCAAATAGATCTGACATATCTCAATGAAAGATGAGCCAACAGAATCTTCATTTAGCTTTTTTGCTCTCTCTTATCTTTGCCCCTTGCGGTTACTGGGTTAGTAGCGGTTGCTACTATACTATCAACAGGTTAGCATTTTCATGTAAAATGTAAAGAACATTTCTATATTGGTAGCATACATGTGAGAGGTGTGATTTGATTTTCATGGCTATACCACAAGGAGTACCTAGTCAATATAATAAGGATCTGTATCTAGGTTATTCTCTCTATGGCGAATGCTATTTTAGCATGCTAAAGGCTCACTTGGCATTATGGCAAATATAACACATGTAATTCTAAAATATCTTATATCTTCATATATTGATTAAAAATAAGTAGTGTAAACTATTCATTGGTCTGTCTTTTTTAAAAACAAAATAAATAATGTTCCTGGATAATTTGATAAATGCATCCTAATCCATATCCAAGACTCATTTTTAAAATAATGACATTAAAAGATAAAGTTAATGATTATTAAATATATTAAATGGCATATTTGATAGCATTCAAAGTAAGCCAAATCTAGCATAATAGTTAAACATTAACTGATATCTTCTAAAGTATACCTTGACTTATAATTAGCTCTCGTGTATGTATGAGTCTGTTAGACTAATAGATTAATTCACTGGATTAGACATTACACAACTACTTGTAATAAAGAAACCAGACTTTCTTCATGTTATATCTCTCATACATGCTATCTTGATGTTCAAACATACATAACTCACACCTTTGTGTTGTTTTCTCACATACTTACTGTAATCACTTGTAAAAGAGCACCCCTCACTTATAACATTGTACCATTATGGCACTCATCTCTAAAATTAATCTATCTATTTTATGGCACTTCTCAATAAAATTGTTCATTTCAAGGAGACCACTGTATATGTTGCTGTTTTCACTGCTTAGACTTTTCAGTTATATCTGCATATAACTCAAAATTGAGATTCTTGTAATTATATTTACAGGTTTTAGATTATTTATAATGCTAATTCACACTCTCTCACCCACTAGCATGCTAATTACAGGGATTGGATACCAACATTTTAGCAGCAGTGTATGGACATAAACTCTCATTGTGACATCATGCCTCAAGCAAAACGGACACTTGTGCCAGTTGTTTTGAGGCAGAGTATAGAATACATGTAGTAATCATAAATGTTACAAATGTCTTCTGAGACTTATAAGGTGATATATGAGTGATATATTATATGTTTGAATTACCAATGTCTAGAGATGGCTGATCATTATTTCAACTGAAGGTCTCAAACAAGCAGTGATGCAAGAATCATAAGTCGATGAAGAGTCGACTATGAAGATTTGCCAAGAGTATTCATTATAGGATAGTTGAAACTCCATATATTTGAGAAGTGAAATTGTAGAGACATCGACAAGATATCTAAGTATGTACATGTAATTAATATAATGTAAATTACCTTTGCTTGAAATCCGAGTCCATGTTGAAAAGCCTCTTCATTATGAAGTGGAATTCTGGTGTCATAGCCATCGTCCGAGACCAAATCATACTGCTTTTTGGAAGGCATGATTTACAGTTATATAATCCAAAAGCTATCTTTGTTTACAAAGTTAAAAAGACTTTCCACTATCCTCGACAAATAGATCGATTAACTGTACATGCTAGATTCAACAGACCACCAATCTGCATGTATTTGCAACTGTACACTTGAGCTTGCTAAGTTCTGAAAAAGATCCTGGTGTTTCTACCGTTTATAAAGTAAAACAGACTGTTTTCTTCCAAATATGTCCTCTCGGATTCCAAACAACTGTTGATACTTAACGCAATTTGATTGCCATATACATACTAAACGTTGCTGAAGCGGCGATTTTGACCAAAATGAAGAGAACTCGTTAAAAGTTCCATTTCCAATTTTGAACTGCTTCCGGCCACTAATTGAAAAAGGTCACGTGATAAATGTTCATCATAAAACCGAACGGACGTTTATTATAACGATAAGCCGATAAAAAGATGGCAGTGTGGTATATTATTTACATTCTGAACGTGACAGTCCTCTTATTCCGAGAGGACCTGTAAAAGAGATTGCGTTTGGTCAGGGAACCCTCCATCGGGTCAAAACGTAGCACATTGATTTGGGCAAACCCAATATCCCAGATGCGAGTAGAAATAATCTTGATTTATGTCATTAAAAATTCACAATTCAGTCAAACTGATGTCATATTTGGAACGGTTATTTTTAAAAGATTTATTTGTGTTTATAATACAGGCTACTGGTGATTCAATTAGGTTTTGTAGGCACAAGAACACCCATATGCTTTGAGAAATATATATCAGTTTGACCATTTTTCGTATATGTTATTGATTTTATGATTTAAAGATATAAATGCGATATAATATGTGTTATTTTATTTAAAAAGCTTAAAAATATCAAAAACAATAGAACATTTTTACTCTCTTTAATTTTTTATACTTAGGTAGGGTCTTGGACACTGGTCTTGGACTTCCATTTGACCATGATGAAATCCACGTTTCCTCTTAAATAACATGGAATAAATATTTTAACACGGCAACGAATGGATCGGCCTATAGCGTGAGTTTCAGCAAATCATAAGCCTTACACCCATATCTATATGCTTTTCAAGAGAAGAAAAATGGGGTTTCTCGCAAATTAAAATGTATGTCCAAACTGATTCAGTCAATTAAATGGTCACTGTGTGTGTGTAGCCTACACTTTGTTTTTCTGCCTAGGTTTGAATACATTACCATTAAGGATGTTCCCTGGTCAGATAGGAAAATATTCAATAGTATTTAACTTTTTCTCAAAAATGGTTTTCTGGGATTCTCACGGGCAACAAAGAATATTAAAACTTTAAAAACCATATGTTAGTGTGCTTTTTTCTGAGCAAGAGGCCTCTAAAGTGTCAATATTTGACAAAAGTGGGCGTGGCACTTTCTCATTGAAACCCATGTTAAAAATCAGGTTTTCACCCCAAAACACACTTTTGAATATTTAACTTTTTCTTAAACTCACAGAAACACTTAGTTATGCTATGTACTTCACATTTTGAAAAGAAAAATTAGGGGTTGGTGTTCATCGTTTTCAACTTCGTCCAGGGAACATCCTTAAATGATATGTACACTGAACCTGTAGAACCTGCTAAGTGAAACACCTCTTGAAGCGTAACACCTTATTAGTGGAACAGTTTTTTTTAAAGTTCCATTTCAGTCCATTTATTTTACGCCTCTGATTCCAAGGTATGAGAACTATACATCTTGGCATCCAAGATGATTGTCGAAATCGAATTGTAATGCAAGAATTGAATAAATCATAAATGAAAATTCATGTCACTGTATCACCCATTGTCATGATTGTGCCTGTTTTGGACATGGGTCTCAAAATAAACTTATAGAGTTTTTTTTAGAGTTTGATACTCTGGCGCCGTTTTCAATAGATTTTACTCCTAGCGTTATTGAACTTCAAACAGAAGTGAAGGTTGCACGCAAATGATATTGCATGGAGTAAGTAATTATCTTTGATATAACGAAACATATACAGCATATGGAATACCATCTGTAGGTAAAATGACATTAAGGTGGTAAAGAGAAGAGAAACAAACATCCTTTTCCTCCGACATTTCGAATTTTGCGCATCTTGTCGAGTCTTTGATCAACCACTTTTAATAGTAGGCGATCACTGTACATACAGTGAAATGTGGTTTTGAAAAGAGTTTATCAACTTTGAAAATTTAATTTTCTTTGAAAATGTGAATTCTAGGTCGGGGAGATTCCCCATAGACCCCATGTTGTAAAACCACAAAAAGTGAAATATCTTTTCTTGTGTTGGGCAGATAATATTTTCTTTTACTGGACATATGTTAATTTGTATAACTATCAGATACATTAAGGTAATATGAAAAGTGAACCACTAAAACTGATGCATATTCAAGTTAATTCCCCCGAATCAGCCACTTCGTTATTTTTCTTTCTTAGTTGAACAATGGGCAGCGCCATGAACAATGTTATCAAGGGCTTCACTGAGTGAGTCAGTAGAAGATGGCTCTACCCCGGCTTTACCACCCCATGTTTGGACCCCCGGGGTTGGACCAACTTAAGAAACTCCTATTTCACCAATGTAGTTATAATAATTATAGGCACTCATTATACATTTGAATGTTTTTTATGCTATACCAAGCCAAAAAGGAGTTTTAGCACCCCGAAAAGGCCATTGACTTTCTATGAAGACTTATTGAAAATATCCTCCCCACTTTTAAGCTAAGGCCAGTGCTAAGGCAGACAACGGTAGCCTCAATATATATAGAGGACATCCCGTGCAGCGATTGGAAACTCATTACAATTAGTCACCAGTACCAACGTAAATAAGGGTTATGTACTGGGAGGTTTTGGATATGGGGTTTTTCCAGAGGGAGATATGCATATCTACCTGAGGAGTCTACCTGAGGGACCGAAGGTAGATGTGCATATCTCACGAGGGATGAACCCAATACCCAAACCGAAAATACATAACTGCTTTATCCTATACCAAGTTGAGTTTTCAGGGGCATATGGCCATTTCAATAGTACAAGGTGTAAAAATAAACAAATCATTCATATGCAAAGTCATTTTATTGCATTTCCACTACTTACAGGAAGCGGGAAGATATGCACCGAAGCGGGAAGATATGCACCGAAGCGGGGGATATGGCGGGAGATACGGAGGTTCTGGATATGGAAACCTCAAAATCAGGATACGGGATATATCTTACCAACTTATCTCCCTAAAACTCTACTTGGCATAGGATAAGAAGGTGTACATTCAACATTACAAACAGATATTCAGGAAATATCTCAAATCTTATACTTAAAACACCAAATCACGCTGGTAAACCGCCATTCTGTTAGTTAGCTTTCCAATGATGTGCTTAAAACGTTCTTATGTTGTTACTTGTTAGACAGCGATGAGAAACTCATTACAATTATGTACCAACCTAAATCACGACGAAAAAATAAATATTGCGCCGAAACGCCAATTTCACGATATGGTAAAACAATATTCCAGATTACAATAATAGCGATATTTCATTAAATAACGTGGTGCAATTGAATTGTGCTTAGCCTCTTGAAAGTCCATGCTCTGGCCCTTCCAACACCCATGCTGCCATCTTTTTTGATTTATATAGAAAATGGTCAATTTTGACGGTGTAAAAGGGTAGGAGGTCCTATCAATGTATGGTCCTACTCTCCATTGGTTTATATGGTGACCTGTTTAAAAGGGGCCTTTAAAAAGGGGGACCATAATCCCTGGGGACCATAATTTCTTTCACAACGGCACTGAATCATTTGATCAACTTTTGTCCATCTTTACACTAGCTGACGTCGATGATATCATCAAGAATACGTTCAAACAGAACTGAGAAGATATTGCCCTTATATAGCAGTAGTATACGGCGGGCCTTTCGACCCCCTACCGGCACCGGTACTTACTGTTCCACGTTCCACGTTCCACCGGAAGTGACGTCATAGGTCACGTGTTCCACGTTCCACCGGAAATGACGCAATGTGCACTGGGAGTAACATAACTGGTCAAAGGTTACTGATAATTGATAAGAGAGGAGTTAACTGATAAGATAATCAAACAAACTGGTCAAAGGTTACTGATAACTGATAAGAGAGAGCTCAATTGATAAGATAATCAAACAAACACTGTTAAGGTAACCTGGTGACTATGTGATAAGCTATCTTGTCTACTTCATGGACGTTTCATTGTTATAGGTCAAAGGTGGATAACAAACTGATAAAATAGTAAAAAAGATAACTGCAGAACCATTTCAACCAAACAGGTTTTAGCTTGCAGAATTATTTTAACCAATCAGAGTACAGTAATTTTTAACCAATCAGGTTTTGACTTGCAGAATCATTTTAACCAATCAGGGCACAGTATGTTTGGATTATTTTAACCAATTATGTTTAGAGTTTCAGAATAATTTTAACCAATCGGGTTGTGGTATATTCTCATCCAATCAGATAAAAGAAAATCACTCAATAGAGGAGAATTTCTGCACAATTTAACAAGTCCAGACAGGTATTGAATATTTATAACCAAAACGTCTCCTGAGTTATTTTAGAATATTTTTAAATTGTCAAGTTGATCAATTTGTGCTAATTTTTTCTCCAAACGATTACTTGATTCTTACTTTGGAGTCATTTTAGAATATTTTTCCAATCTTCACGCTTGAGTGATTTTCGCTTATTTCTTGAGTTTGAGGTATTTAATCACCAAATGGACACAGTATTCTTACTCCCGATACATTTAAGAGTATTTTTACAATTTTCACGCTTGAGTGGTTTTTGGTGATTCCTGGAGTTTGAGGCATTCTTTTACCAAACTATCACTTGATTCTTACTCCTGGGTCAATTTAAAGTATTTTTTGAAGTGTCACGTTTCGGCGATTTCAGTCACTGTTGATCGATTTCTGCTAATTTTTGGAGTTTAAGGCATTTTCACAAAAAAGACACCCACCCACTATACAAAATAACACGCTTTAATAGGCATCTGTTAATTTAACATGCCACTGATAAAAATATAAACCCCTACAAGATAAATAATAAAAAATGCTAACGTTAACAGTTTTACAGCAGAACATTTTCGACCAATCAAAGTGTATATGCAAATGAGCTGCAGAACCATTTCAATCAATCAGATCAGATTATTGCACTCTTCGACCCCACCGCCACCGCCGCCACCGCCACCGCCGCCGCCGCCGCCACCGCCGCCGCCGCCGCCACCGCCGCCGCCACCGCCGCCACCGCCGCCGTCGCCGCCACCGCCGCCGCCGCCGCCACCGCCGCCGCCGCCACCGCCACCGCCGCCGCCACCGCCACCGCCGCCGCCACCGCCACCGCCGCCGCCGCCACCGCCGCCACTATCAACAACAACCCAACAATAACAGTAAAATGCATTTTAGTGCTTAAGTTGTTTATTTAATATACATATTGTCATTTATACAAATTATTTCATAGTCCATTGTTGATGATCACTGTCTGCGTTGACGTTTTCCAGGTGGGCCAGAATACACCATAACATCCCTCTTTTTCTTAGGTTTCTTAAAAAGTCTATTCATCACATTTCCATTATAGGTGTGGTCAAAGGAATCATTGTCACTCATTTGTCTGTAAACTCTCTTTGATGGCAGATCCCGTTCAGCCATTTCTTTCTGCTGCTTGTCAATTTCTGCCTTTGCCCTCTGATAAACAGCTTCAGTGGGACTGACGTGTTGAACAATTGATTCGCGGACTGATGACACTGGTATCCACTTGAGTTTTCCTCGCCTACCATATCCAGCGTGTTCTATGACTCTACCTTCTACCTGGGCTCGTATAAACTTCTTCCACACTTCTGGGTCATCCACATAAGGCACTATCTTAGGCATTGTTGCTTCCTCAGTTTCTCTCAAATATATGATGCTCATGTCTAAGGTTTCTCTTTATATTCTCATCGTAGTGACTAAAAGGGACTACGGAACGTTCATTCACAAAATCTCACTACGTTCTTCTTCCATCTCACCAGATGTATCTGTATCTTCTGAATCATGTCCGTCAATAGACGCTTCATCGTTAAACATTTCATCAGCGATATAAGAATATTTGGCCAACGTTTTTCTGATAGCTCTCAACAGAGACATGTCTTGATCAACTAAGAATTCAATTTCTTCTACTATTTCTCGATGTACATCGGCATCTTTGACTTCCATAAATAACCTCAGAATTTCACCATAGTCATTTAAAAACTCAGATTTTGCTTTGGGATAAAGTTTTGCTTTGAGCTTTTGAGTAATTTCCTTCTCTGGTAATCCCCTGGTAGTGTATTTTTCATACAAAGTGTCAGCTTCTTTTTTCAATACATCCAACACGTTCTGCTTCAGAGTAGAAAATGTATAATTTTCCTTCAAATCTTCAGCATGGGGTTCATTTTTACCAGAGTCTTCATATTGGCAATATTTTTGATGTATGTCTGCATGTTTTGTGGTAATCAACACTGTTCCACAGTCTTTACAATGGGGGAGATGTAAAACGGAGGGGTTTCTTAGAGTAACATCATCCATTGGACCTGGATACGTAGCATCCATCTGAGTTGGTTGAACAATGGTATTAGGTCGGAATTCCGACATATCTTGCCTCTGTTGAGCAGTGGAGCTCCCTGCCGTGTTATAAAAATGTTGAAATGATGTATATGGAACACTTTCTGCAACTTGCTGCAATGCATTAGGCTTAAGCCTCGAACCATCTTCAGTTTCTTGCTTCAGATCCACCACTAAGTAACCAAATGGATTTTCCGTAGCTTGTCTGTAAATGTCAAGTAAAATATGTGTCTTTCCAGGATACATTTGAGATGCCAAAACACTTATCTGTCTTTGATCCCTCGGGTTCTTGAACAGAACCAAGTAATGGCTGTTTAAGCTCATTGTTCTGCTTTCTCCATTGGGTGGGAAAATATTTTGTTGTAGCGTGATAATGGATATATTTTTGTGATGAGAACCCGCTGTGTATAGCAATGTAACTGCCTTGTTAAGGTCCGCCATGAGATCATCTATCACAACCAAATTGGTCACATTTCCATCGAAGTAATCGGGCTTCATCAAGTCATCGCAAAGTCCCATGACAAACTCGATATGAGGCTGTTTTCTCTTTATTTCTGCATACAAAGGCTGCCATTGTTTGAAGAACCATACTATTCTTTGTGGTGGTGGATTGATTAATTGTTCGGCTCTATCAATAAGGTCGACAACATAGGTTGTCTTTCCACATCCAGTAGGACCTGCAACAATTTTAGTAAATGGATGCCTGAACTGTATAGGTGAGTCGAGATCGAAGTTAGTCTCGTCTTTTTTGTGAATGTTTCTCATATGTCTCAGAAGAATATCCTTCCTGGCAAATGTGCCAGAACACACGGAGCAAATATAATCCATGTTGCCACGTAGATGAGGTTGCGCTGAATGAATGAATCAAGCCTGCTTTTCACTTATATAGTTTTAATGCATCCCTCTGTTGAATAAAATATGATAAAGGCACAAAAGGTGGCGGCGGCGGCGGTGGCGGCGGCGGTGGCGGCGGCGGTGGCGGTGGCGGCGGCGGCGGCGGCGGTGGCGGCGGCGGCGGCGGCGGCGGTGGCGGCGGCGGCGGCGGCGGCGGCGGTGGCGGTGGCGGCGGTGGCGGCGGTGGCGGTGGGGTCGAAGAGTGCAATAATCTGATCTGATTGATTGAAATGGTTCTGCAGCTCATTTGCATATACACTTTGATTGGTCGAAAATGTTCTGCTGTAAAACTGTTAACGTTAGCATTTTTTATTATTTATCTTGTAGGGGTTTATATTTTTATCAGTGGCATGTTAAATTAACAGATGCCTATTAAAGCGTGTTATTTTGTATAGTGGGTGGGTGTCTTTTTTGTGAAAATGCCTTAAACTCCAAAAATTAGCAGAAATCGATCAACAGTGACTGAAATCGCCGAAACGTGACACTTCAAAAAATACTTTAAATTGACCCAGGAGTAAGAATCAAGTGATAGTTTGGTAAAAGAATGCCTCAAACTCCAGGAATCACCAAAAACCACTCAAGCGTGAAAATTGTAAAAATACTCTTAAATGTATCGGGAGTAAGAATACTGTGTCCATTTGGTGATTAAATACCTCAAACTCAAGAAATAAGCGAAAATCACTCAAGCGTGAAGATTGGAAAAATATTCTAAAATGACTCCAAAGTAAGAATCAAGTAATCGTTTGGAGAAAAAATTAGCACAAATTGATCAACTTGACAATTTAAAAATATTCTAAAATAACTCAGGAGACGTTTTGGTTATAAATATTCAATACCTGTCTGGACTTGTTAAATTGTGCAGAAATTCTCCTCTATTGAGTGATTTTCTTTTATCTGATTGGATGAGAATATACCACAACCCGATTGGTTAAAATTATTCTGAAACTCTAAACATAATTGGTTAAAATAATCCAAACATACTGTGCCCTGATTGGTTAAAATGATTCTGCAAGTCAAAACCTGATTGGTTAAAAATTACTGTACTCTGATTGGTTAAAATAATTCTGCAAGCTAAAACCTGTTTGGTTGAAATGGTTCTGCAGTTATCTTTTTTACTATTTTATCAGTTTGTTATCCACCTTTGACCTATAACAATGAAACATCCATGAAGTAGACAAGATAGCTTATCACATAGTCACCAGGTTACCTTAACAGTGTTTGTTTGATTATCTTATCAATTGAGCTCTCTCTTATCAGTTATCAGTAACCTTTGACCAGTTTGTTTGATTATCTTATCAGTTAACTCCTCTCTTATCAATTATCAGTAACCTTTGACCAGTTATGTTACTCCCAGTGCACATTGCGTCATTTCCGGTGGAACGTGGAACACGTGACCTATGACGTCACTTCCGGTGGAACGTGGAACGTGGAACAGTAAGTACCGGTGCCGGTAGGGGGTCGAAAGGCCCGCCGTATACTACTTATAGCTTTAACATCAAATAGTACGGGATCACCTTAAATAGTCCCGATCAACCATCAATCCATATTAAATGCATACTAATTCGGGACCAGTTCTTATCGAACTCAGAGGTGGAATGGATGAGAGATGCATTGTTCAATGATGGCCCGTTTTGAGTTAAAAAATCACTCAATAACAATATCAAGTTCTTGTTTCAATTTGGACTTTTCTGAAAGTTGACGAACTCGATTTTTAATACAGCCGAGAAAACCTGGAATTTCAGAAAAGGTATCCCCAACTTTTTTCAATTCTTTAGTTGGGAAGTATGTGCCCAAGGAGAAGAAAGAAGCAAGCATAAACATTCAGGAGACAATAGCCAAAACTATAGTTGAACTATGCAGTCCAGTTTTTATGTCACCCCTACAAGTGGTGGCATAATGGCAGGTGGTGACATTTTGCATGTTAATGTATTGTTTTATTTGGAACCAGTCTAATCTTCTTTAGCGGGCCGTTTCTCATCTCATTCACACCCCTATTTACTGTAAACCTTTCTCATTCAAATACTGCAGTAGTGCTAAATGTGCAGTTATGCCAATTTGGGAGCTTCGTATTCGGTAGTTTATATCTAGAATCTGCGCGCAGGGCAGATGAAAGAAGGTTATTGCAAAACAAAAAAATATGAAGACTTTTCTTGGCTAACCCTGTAGATTCACATTGTACGTTGAATTACACGCCATCTTTCAATCGATAAAAAGTTAATTTCATTGGACAGTTTATCAAGTCAGGAGTTTATTGAAAAGGATCATTCTGATACACATCACACTCTTGTTTTTCAACTAAAACTGCAACTCCAAAATTCAGAGTAAATTTGAACCATAAATGACAATTTAATATTGACTTGAACACTAGTTGATGAACAGTTCTTAAAATATGTGTATTTTTGTTTTCTTAGATATCTTTATTTCAAATAATCTATATTCACTGATGTATTGAAGAAACTTTTTAAAATCTTGAGATTCTACCATATTTTACACCTCCAATAAAAAATCCCCTGTAATCACAGCGAATATTGTTAATTGAGCAGTTTTGATGTTGGACTAGACAAATCGGAATACTTTATAATGCTTTCTAGATACACCTGACCAGACCTGCCTGTACACCGAAGAGGGGCTCTATCATTGTTATTAAGTCTCCTTCACCCAGCTTGACTCTTTCCCCTGCTTGTTTCCAAGAGAGTTGAGCTCATGTGCTTGAAAGCGCCATCTTCCCAAGCCCCTGTTCTTTAACTACTTTACAGTTTGTGTACTTATGCTTGAAAGTGAAGACACAGTTCCTTTCTGTCTGTCAGCGGTCTTAACATTGCGTCTGTCTCTATCTATAGGAATTAGGTCGATATCCAACCAAAATCCTTCCTTTTTCAAGATCTCTATATTTTCACGGAGCATCTTATTTACCTTCATTGTCTCATATCTATATCTATAATCTTTGTTTATCTCAGCCTGACATTTTCCTGCTTTGAAATAGCGCCAAACTTTGATGATTTTATCCAAACTTTGGTTAAGGTCTTTCTCGTTAATAACACTGACTGTCTTCCCATGGTTTGAATTTCGGAATATTTTCCTCCACATCCATTTTTCCTCGGGAATTTTAATTGCTGTTATCTGTTTAGTGATGTTCAATTTCTCTAACTGTTTAAAGAGATATAATCGTCTATTACCTTCTACTACCCAGTATTTCTGGTCCCATAGCATAACGTCCATGGATTCTAAATCCCCGGGAGATGAAGTCCCGTAGAGCAGACTTCTGAAAGTATCAGCCAGGTTTGTACCGTCCTCAAAGTGACATTTCACTATATCTTGGGTGTATAGGATCTCTGCAGGGTTTAACTGAACCAATTCATGCGGTCTGCTCCGTATTGCCCTCTCAGCCATAGTTTTGGATGATTTGGTCAGAGTTTGATCAATATATTGGAATTGACTCTCCTTAAAGGGATGTCACTGTGTCGAGAATGTTCAAAAGTTTAGTCTTGATCCTGTCGAGGAATGTCCAATGTAGAAAGGTAGCCGCTCTGTTGTAAGTGTGGTTGTAGAATGTAGAACCTGTTTGCTTGTGGCTGCTATCCCATTTTTAAAGATACCTGAAATTAGAAACAATCTTTATTACTATATATTGCATATTAAACTTTTACTACATGATTGCATTACTTATACACAAGCTACCCTGTTTCTAAAAATAGGCATATTCTCGGAGGCCATTTTTAGCTTCAAAACCTTAAAAACAGCGGATCCTTAAACGCTCTCCGGATCTCGGCCAATGGAGCATAATCTAATATATGTACCATATCAACTTATAGCAAGAACCAGTGGTCCATAATATCGTACACAATTTTATTCATCGTCACTGGAGTAACTCATTTAGTCTACGTATTCTTGAGTCTGTAAATGGTAGCTCAGTGTCAACTAAATGGCAGACCTAAGTGTCAAGTCATTCTACTATTGAACTGATATCGATGTCATTGAACAATACTCACTCCCAAACAGTAAACCAATTTGCTCGTAACTTGTATAAATATTACCTTAGACAAGTGATAGTTGAAGTATTGCGATTCTAAACATTGGTATAAACATACAAATCAATCAGTATTTGCCTGTTCAATGGTTTGATTGTGTCGGTGCTTTTGTAAATGTTTATTTACACCACGTTTTAACGTGTCAAAATAAACACGGCCATCAAAGTATTTTCATTTTACAATTTTTGCCGCTCCTGACCTTTTAGAATATTCTAAACATTGATGTTTAAATTGCTTAATGTAGTAAGGGTGGATCTAAAATACAAATTCCAATTTGTGTAAGAAAGAAATGCGGCCAATAATTTACATGGCTACCTTTTAATCGTTACATTAATCAAAGTAACTCGGTATTTAACTCTGATCCGAATTTACACCAACCTTGACAAGATTCAGAACTAAATGGAACTATCAACAGACTACTTAAAACATATAACTTTAAAAAGTTCGAATCTAAGTCTATGGAATGTGCAAGTTTCACTTATGTTGTTATCATTTTAAAAGAAATTTAAGGATGAAGAAATTTCTTAAATGCCACTTGAATAATATACTGCTAATATTTGAATGTTCTCTAATACTAGCCTGAAATATAGAAAATATAAAAGAAAAGATACTCTAAACTAATCCCCTTTGTTCAATAATTCTATCGGCACTCCAGTACTTATTGGCGTTTCTTAGCAACTTGGAATAAGATCTTGACATAGTTTTTAAGGATCAATGCTTGTTGCTAATGCCACTAAATCCTTGTAATGTTGTATATTGCAAGAATATATTAGACGTTCTCCTACCACAGTTAGGCAACACCGACTTTCCATTGAATTGCATGTTAATTAATGAATGTGCTTGAATTTTTTCCTTAACATTACAACACCGCTATGTGCTTTACTTAGTATTAATCTATTAGTATTATTTAATTAGTATTACTTAGTCTAGATCGGCCTGACATTGTATATATCTATAGTCGTTTATCATTGTTATTTATTTCGTTGACAGCATGATAGCCACTCAATTTCTTATATTTATATAAACTTGACTTTATAAACCGTGACTAGAGATCCCTTAACCAGCCAATATGGAAACCAAACCAAACCAAAAGTTGATCCTGCTTTTTATAATTTAATTTTTGGTTCAACTGCAACATTTAAATTCGATCCGCGTACGATGTGCATCTCAAACAACCCCGGATTAACATAAATCTAGGTTTAGATGATATATCGAAAATGTCCATTTGAATTAAGCAGAGAATGTCTCCCATTTCGGGCCCTCGAGATTTCACAAATGTTCTTTTCATTACTTCATTCGCTATCTGGGGGACAATTGCATTTAATTCTGCATTTCAGCATAAGAATATCTTTTGAGCTAGGCAATTTGGCGCCGTAACCACGAGGTTGCGAGTTCGAGACGCGAGTGCTCCTTGTGTTTATACATTTGTAATGCATAGGATTTCTGAACCACCGATATATTGAACTGAAACTACTGCATTAACTGAACTCCACTGTACACTTTAAATTTTCCAAATGAGGATTCTCTATTATGATTATAAAAAGTTATTAAAGGGTAAATGGCGACCACCTTTTGTGTCACCCTGTAGATCGACCATGAGGGGCTTTCACATTCAGAACGTAATGTTGTGTACAACGGATAGAAGTTGTCATAAACGATTTCCTTAGCCAGACACTTTTGAAGTTTCCAATTTATAAATCGTTAAGTTCTTTGATCACGATATCCCAGACAATGCAAACCCGGGGAGTTGTGAAAATATTTGCCATTTCGATTAACAATCACGTCGATTTGATATGGGTATTCTCCTATTTGATTTCTATTTCGATACGTTCTATTTCTACGATAAAATTCGGAGATTTGTTTATTTATTCCAAACTAAACATTTGTACAAAAAGTAGTGTAATCATATTCTTTTCATAATCTAACACTTGGACAGTTGAATAGTTTTGATATGTGATCCTTGAAGTATACCTATAGAGTATACTTAGTATATGAATATATCATATACGTATTATTACGTATTATATATATTGCACGTATTACTTAATATAATGATCGGTATTACTATTTTTACTGTATGTAATGTTTATCGTTGGATGTACGCTTGGCCGAATAAGGCATTAGTATAAATAAATCCTATATTATTATATAGGTATACGTTTATGATTCAAATATCACCAAACACCCAACATCATGTAATTCGAATTCGAATTTCAAAACAAGAGAGCGATCTAGGAGCAAATGATTAATATTGAAAGGCAAAGAGAAGTTATTTTGAGGCCTAGGAGTGCAGCCATAAAACGTTTAAATGAAATCACGTTTTTGTGTATTACAAGTACATGTATATCCATCATATGCATTCGTCCACCTTCTTCAGACTGTAGGCGACATTTTAAACATTTTATATCTAATTCCCTAGTCGCGGGCGAAATTATCTAAAAATAATAACTATCTGAAGTATTACCTGTTCAGAATCTTGAAATAGTATTCCATATGTTCCTGTTTACAATGTCTCCTGATCTCTATGAAGAAAATCACGTTTACAATTCTTCAAGTTCACATAAGCACTTTGTCAAAGAGAAAATATATTTAAACTGTTGTGGTACTAAAACAGCACAAACAATGAACGGTCTTATCCAATGTGTTATTTGTATTATTTGAGCAGTTAAGTATTGACATAAAGTATATATTTTCGATTTGAATTGTGCTTTTTTCTTATGTTAAGTATATCTTAGGTTCCTTAAACGTTTTTCACTAGTGATCGGTAAATAATCTTAGCAGATTGGTTCTCGTCTCAATTTATTTAACTTTTATTAAATTCCTGTTACCTTTTCGAAACTCGATCTCGATAAAGTGTTGTTTTTGTGATATGTATGTATACAACGCCCTTGCTTGTATTCTCTATTTGGAATTCAAATGTGTTTTCCTTTTCACATATAGCCTATTCTATTCTTATTTTTAACCTGTGATATTTTCTATGCAGAAATTATCAATTTCTTTCGTAAGAAAGACACAAACTTTAAAACTAGAATATTTAATTCACAATGGTACGATTGTCGCTCCAACCTCCAATATTAGGCTTACCATTGAGGTAGACAGACTGCTTGTGATATAGACCAGGGACAATCGTGCAGTTTCAATAGATTACACAAGACCACACAGTTCTCTGAATAGTAATCCTTCCTCCGATCAATGTTGTTGATGTTACAGATGATGCAGAACAAAGGACCAACGGTGTGTAAGGTCAGGAGGATAATTGTCTACGTAAAGTTGTAAAATAAATACGTTTTCAGATCGTCTGAATTAACTACTGGCCACATATAACCTACCAATGGATATCTGGTGAATGCTCTTAGTAGAACACAACCTTCTACATTTTTTCAAAGTGCATCGCATTTTTTGTTGAAGAAGTAACCCCAATACACATAGGTGCTATATCAAATTTGAAAATATACTTGTTTATTATTTTTGGATGGGTACCTGTGGGTCAATGCCTAGTACGTTATGTCCAACTCGCCCATTTAGATTTCAGATTTAGAATGCATGTAGATTTCTGACTTAAAGGCCCACTTTAGGAAGTTTCAACATTTTTGGGCAAAATAAAGACATACATTTAAATTTCATAGTCCAATTTATTGATAAGAACCTTATCCTTCATTTGACACCAACAACAGCTCAAATGGACCACATCAAAGCTTACAATAAATTATCAAAAAAATATTTTCGATCTGTCAAGCTTTATATATAAAGTTTTTATCAATATCATTGAAAGATGGCAACGTTGTTGACATGATACATTCATATTTAAAGAAGTGTCGCTAAATGAATAGTAATTTAAAACATGCACTTTGTTCAACATGTGCATGCATGTCTAATGATCTCTGAACTTCAAATGCTTTTTTCTATGTGAGTTATTTTTTCTTGGTTCAATATTAAAGCAAATTAAACTTTGTGTCATATTTGAGCAAGTGTGTGAGTAACATGTTTCAATGATTATTTTTTATTCTAAATTAAGTATAGTATACTTTCCGTTCACGGTTACGGAGTGAAAAACATTGTAAGCTTAAAGTCTCTAGTATTTAGTAAACACGTAAAAGTGCATTTTGCTCAGAAATGGCACAAATTGCTAGATCTACTGGTGTTCTCTACCAGTATGTCCTTCATCGTATCTTAGTATGTACTGAAACATACTGGGAAAGCGTAAAAATAGTATCCACTTTGTCTGTTTCATTGTTGATCTTCAATTCACGTGGTTCAGCCATCTCGATTCACGAGCTTTCAGTTCATCCTTGTTATAACCACCATGGAAGTCTCTATAAAGTGACTGTGTAATCTATGGGGCTCGTATTGCTATGAATGGTAAATAAAGTGGTGGAGCTGCCAGTTATTTTTACTCCGCTTTGAGAAACATGCATGGTGAGACAACCAGAACGTCGCAAATGGAATTAAAATTAATGGTTAGTGATATAATATTTTATTTATCCCACGATTAATGTGTTATCTGTACAATAACAGCTATTGATATTTCTGATATTATTGAAATCCGTG